TCGAATATTTCATTAAAATATCATTCCCTAATAGGTTCATATTACAAAACTTTGAATTAATCCTGATTATCATAGTCAAACTTAGGGAAGGACAACATATGATCCCAGAGGATTAAAATGATATTTGATCGAGTGTTTGAATATAATAAACTTGCTGATAAGAGATCATTAATTTCATGATCAAAATCATGATAATAGAATGATATATTTTCCCGAGGAAAGAGAATATCGTCTACTATCAATCATTTGAAAATGACGATAATGATTATTGACTTTAATTTTTCCAAAGATAATTAATTGAATTTTTCAAAACTTGATTTTGAAAATTTGATCTGCATTTCTAAATCTTCTACGAGTGCAAGCTCTCATAGTTAATTACATTATAGGAAAATTAAAGTGTACTATGAATACTCTCAATTAAAATAAAGGTAGAAATTTCAATTTTTTTTTATTTTTAAATATTGATGTCAATGGAGTGCGATTTAGAAATTCAACTGGGATTATATCAAATTAGAACACTTATTTTCGGAGGTCAACGAATTAGAGGTATGAGGTATTTTGAGATTTTGAAATACTTCAAAACACCCAGACCAAACTATCCTAAGTATTTCTAAAGTATTTCAAAATTTAACTTGAGTTATCAATTTTATTAAAATGTTGAGATTATATTTCTATAAGGTTGAGGTGTTATAGTCTGAACCTATCTCAAAATATAAATCTAAATAATGTACTAAAAATTAGTAGCCTAAACCTACTTAATGTAGTGCAAATATGGACATATCTCGGTATGGATTGGGAAGCTAGCTAACCACCTAGTCAATTAAAATCAATGCATCCGATATTTAATGAAAGAGTGGTAGGGATGTTGTTTAGTTAAGTTTGAAGAAATGTGTTAAAAATAATTTATCATTCTCCTAAATCTACTGAGGTATAAGAGACTGATCAAAACCAAAATCAGGAGTAAAATCCTTGTTGAAAGTGTTATGAAAATAATTAATACATTAATCGTAAATCATTTTAGTATCATCTAATACAATACCACTAGGTTGAGTGATTTTATAAATGTAGTTAGAAACTTTTTTGTGATTATCAATATTTTGAAAATATTTAGTATTCTTATCCCCCTCAACCAAAAATTTAGAAGCAATATGTTGTCTCCAATAAGCTTCTTCCTTAGCTTGAAGATTAAAAAGATTCTTTTTAGCTTCATTAAGATTGCACAGATTCTCAATAGAAGCATCCAACATATAAATATTATCTAAAGAGGTAACCTTACTTTCAGTATCCAGAATGTTAGAGAATTTTTTTTTTTTGAAAATAGCCTTATTCCACAGCTTAAATTTTTGTTTAAGTCTTTTAAGCTAAAGTAACAGTCTAGATATGCCACTAATGTTATCATCAAGATATAAAGGAGCATACAAATTACTTTCTAAAACTTGAAAAAATCTGATCAAGAAGCCCCAATCTTCTCAATTACTTTAAAGATGACATTGAAATCCCCCTCAACCAACCAAGGATTGATAACAATAGAAGAAAAATCACAAAGTTGCTTCCAAAGAGAAGTACTCCTCCCTTTTTTAATGCTAGAAGCATAAACAAACGAGCCATAACATAAAAAACTGCTGGCATTCAATTTTTGTATGAACAATTTGCGGGAAGTAATAGACGATATCTAAGTTGATCGACATAAAGATTCAAGAAAAGTCATATTTTATGCGTACAATTCACAAAAACCTTGTTGAAACCTAGAAATTTCCTATTAGACTCAAGTTTTGAGATAGAAATTAAAGACTCTATTAAAAAAAAGATATTATGAATCGACTCCATTAAAAAAATGATATTATGAATCCAACAAAAAGTATTCACTCTATCCGTAAAGACAGAATAGCCACCCCCCCCCCCTTTCTTTTTAAATAAAACTGAAAAAGGGCCTACACGTTGATATTGGAAAATTGTTACAAGTCTTTAGAGGGATCGATAGCTCACAAATGCTAAATGAGCAACAATTAAAAAAATAAAAAAAGGTCCTACGAGCCAAAGATCCCTATCTAAATAAATAAATTTAAAAAAAAAACACAGTCAGCAAGAAGCCCAACCCATGAGCAGCCCCCCAAAGCTTAGATATACATTTAGCACAGCAAAAAACATAGATAACGATCCAGGTACAGCTCGTCTTCAAGACCAAAAATAATAGAGCACCAAAGCCCTCCAACAAGCTAAGACCCCTGCCAAGCAATTTCAAAGAAGAATCAATAATGTGATCTAGGATAACTAAAAAAACAGCTATATGAGTGCAAGGATGAATCCTGACAAGTAGCTGCTCCACCGAAAATAAAATCCACAACCCATCATAAACCTAGAAAAAGAACAGAGCATTAGAGCCTAATAATCAAGCCAAAGCCCCTGTCAAAAAAATACAAATAACAAACAACAAAGGACTAGCATAAAAGCTACTAAATAAAAAACCTAAAATGGTCAAAAATAGAACCCAGATAATCAACAGCTCCACAAATAAATAAAAACCAACACCCATAATAGTGACAAACAATAGCACCGATAACAAACCCCCCAAATCAGGTCCTAACAAAATAGAACCAAATAAAAGAAAAACCAAAACTCAATAAAAAAAATAATACAAAAGAGGACCCCAAACTAAAGCCCAGACCCAACCACCCCCAAATTGCTAGGATCAGAGTATGACGAAAAACATACCAAAACAAAATAGAGGGAATGAATAAGAAAAGAAGAACAAAAAACCATTAATATATATTTGACATTGCAATTGGGAAACCAAGCTTATTCATTCTCACCAAACTTTTAAGTATATGCAAATCAGAGAGGGAAATATAAATATCCATATTTTGAAGATATGCACCTTTTCTAGCCAAAAGATCAGCACAAGAGTTTCCATTTCGGGGAATATGGGAGATAGAAAATTCAATCTGGTTTAAAAGATTCATAATACTTCTAAAAATTTAAATTAAAGAAGCATTGTTACAAACTTTACTATTAATGAGATTAACCAAAATCAAGGAATCGTACTCAATCGAAAGATTCCAAATCCCAAAATGTAAACAAAGGTTAAGACCAATAAGAAGACCAGAAGCTTCAGTAAAAAGAACATTACCATAAAAAACTTTATCTGCAAAAGCAAAAACCATATCACCCTTAGAATCTATAAGGATGCCACCGCAACCACCACCAACCTTAGAAAGCGAGCCATTAACTTTAAGCTTGAACTTGTTCACAACCAGATTGATCCAATACACGACACTAAAAAAATTTCTAATGTTGTTCTTCTAAAAAGAAATTTGAAAAAATTTAGTCCAGGAAATCACACCTTTAAAATGTTTAGGCTTCAACAGATCTGCATTAATCATCTGATGACTTTTCACCTTTAGGCACATAATGATTTTTTCACAACTAATTTTGACACCCATATGTTTACTATTATTTCTCTCAACCCATAAAAGTCAAAAAAATAATCATAGGGATAATAATCGCAATATGGCTAGCACGACATTTGACACAACAGTTCTCTAAAAAGCAGATGCAATTAATCATATTTGTATCAAAGGGATAACCCAAAGCAATGAACAATATGTTCCAAACTTTGTAGGTTATAGGCCCATACATAAAAACATGATTGATTAATGGTTTCCACCTTGAAGCAATATTGACATCTAGAGACAATATTAAAACCTTTAGATAAAAGCCTCTAGTCAACCGGAATGTAGCCAGCTTTAATAAGCCTCCAAGTGAAAATCGAATAAACAGTGGGAGTGTTATTACTCCAATTTTTATCAAAAATCGTGGAATTATCAACTTTAAGCCTTTTGGTGTTCCATACATCTTTTGAGCAAAAATCCCCATCTTTTGAATTCTTAAAAATCAAAATGTCATGACAGTTAATTTTCAAATGTATGCTCAAAATCCTATCAGCCACCGTAGGGATAGCATCAATCAAACGATTATAATCTTAGTTTTCATTACTAAGAAAATTAGAAACTATCAAATTAGAGACAGAATGAGTGTGAAGAATCTCATATAAAGATCAAAAGCTTGACCAATTGTTTTGCCAAAAGAAACAATTTTCCTTGCCAAGGCCATATTGTAAAAAGGATTCACCCAACCATTTGATCTTACACAATCTATGCCAAACATGAGATTGGTCGTTCTTGAAGAAACAACAAGATGAATGATTCGAATTGCAATACTTCTTATTCACAGAATTAGCCCATAGACAATTGTTTAATCTAAACTTCCACCAAAGTTTAATAGAAAAATAGTTAACCATATCTATGATAGAAAAACACCAACCCCCTTTATATTTCAAATAAGGGACTTAATCATTAGCATTGTTCGAGGAATTTGAAGATGTGACAACCCGTGGGGAGAAGGCCAGGATTTCTTTAATGTTATTACTCTTCTTTTTGTTATTAACCTTGATAAAACCATGAGAAAGTCTTTTTATACACAAAGGTATGATCATAAGTCAGAAGCGCTTGTTACATAACCTGTACTTAAATAGAATCTGCTATTCTATTTAAACACCAAAAAAAAAAGTCTATAATTTATGAGAACAAATATGAACATAACAAACTTTCTAACAGACACCAATCAATCTTTTTAAAATATCATCTTAGTAGCTGATATTCTGATATGTAAAGCCGTGGTTTTTCATAAGCCAAATCTGGAGACCAAGTTCAATAAGAGTATGAAAAGGATGTTGAAGCTTCGTGAGCTTGATTCCTCACTCTTGCCTCATTGAAGATTCTCTTCTTATTTGTTGAGGTCATATGTAATGGAGCCTACAAAAAAATTTCAGAAGTAAATTTGTGAAATATTTTGGTTTCACAATGAATACTGCACATGTACAACCTAATCTCTTCTTAATATAGTATATATGGTTGTTTAGGTGAGAGGTCTCCTGGAAAATATAAAGGGTAGATGTGGTAAAAACTAAAAGCAGGAGACCGGATAGGCCCCTTCATATTTGCCCGTTTGAGCAATCGTCCATCTAACAAGGACCACTGTCCTCAAATCCTGTAAGGCCAGCGCGCGATATAAAGAAACCCATCTTCTTTAAAGAAACGCGCACAGCATAGCCATTCCCCTATCCCTCCACAGTCACTCTGAGATATATACGCATCCACAAACACAGAAAGCTCGTCGCTTGCTGCGCCATCTGTACAGTGATGGCTACAATGCGTGAAAGCTAGGTAGGGATGTAAAGAAGAAAGCAAAGCAAGCAGAAAGCACAGATCCACAATCATAAACGCAGAGAGAGAGGGAGAGAGAGAGAAGAGACAGGTTATGGTGAGTAATAAGCAGCAGCTGCAGCAGTACTGGTACTTTAGCTGTTCTTTGAAAAGCCAAAAAGCTTCCATCGGTTTCAGTATAGTAGCAGAAGCAGCCTTGCCATGAGGTTCAAATCACACTATCCGTTCCCAAAAAACCACAAGCCTCTCTTAACAACAATAACAATCATTACCGTCATCCCGAAACTCCTACCTTAGCTTCCTCTTTTTACTATTCCCTTCTCTCTCTCTCTCGCTATCTTTTCCTTAACAGAACCATGAGCGAGAGAGAAACCCAAGACTTCTTAAACGTTGACTCCTTCTCTCAGCTTCCTTTCATCCGCAGAGATCATAAGCCACCTAACGCACCCATCCGCCTCTTCGGCTTCGACTTCCCACCCGAACCTCCCACTTCCATCGATACCAACAAACGCCGCTGCTACCCCGCCGACGAACACACCGGAAGCCCTTCCGACGCCACAGAAATCGCGAGGAAGTTCGAGTGCAACTACTGCTTCCGCAATTTCCCAACCTCACAAGCGCTCGGGGGACACCAGAACGCCCACAAGCGCGAGCGCCAGCACGCCAAGCGCGCCCACCTTGCGGCGGCGTCGGCTGAAGGGCACTTGCACGGCATGATAGGCTACCACCGGCTCGGTTTGCAGTCATCAGCAGTGCCGCCGCCACCGCCGCCGCTGCACTATAATTCTTGGAGTTTGTCGGCTGGAAGCGGTGGAGGAGTGCGGTTCTATGGCCGGCTAGGATCGGTGGCCCAACCCATTAATGGAAGCCCGATGTTGGGGTCTTGGAGAGAGCCGGCAGCGGCGCCTTTGCCTTTGTTTAGCGGGGATGAGGAGAGGAGGACAACGTCTTCAGCGCAAAGGGAGCGGCATGGTTATAATGAGTCTAAAGATGGTGTGAGTCTGGATCTTCACTTGTAGTTTTTCGTTGTCGAAATTGCAGGTGTTAGTTTCTGAACTTAAATTACTTGCTTTTAAAATCTTACTCGACTTCTATGAGTGGTTTCTGTGGTGATTTGCAGAGTATTTTGGCTAATTGATAGATGAGAAACTTTATTCTCATTAAAATTTTCTTTTTAATTCATGAGCACATCACTTATATAGCTGGAATTGTATAGAGTTAAATATATCTATTTAGTCACATATTCTTTAATTAAAATATTATTAAAATTTTGGATCACTCAATTAATTGTTATGCTTCACCTAAAATGTGACTACAACATTAATCAATATTTTAAGGGTAATTATGTGATTAAAGCATAATACTTTGTCATATTTTCAAATAACTTGTGTTTGTTCAAATTTATAATATTAATTTCTTTTATAATTGATATGCTTCATGATATAAAAGGTGTAGATTTTATGACTGAAATAAACATTGCTTTTGATGTTTAAATCAAAGTTTAATAGAAGTAGATTTTTTTGTTAGGAAAAAATTATATTAGGGTTTTCTCATGAGCATTGATTAGAAATTCAAGATAATTATATTACCCCTAAATAGTAAAAAAGGAGAATCTGTGTAATTACATGATTATGATTATATAAATTAAACATTACAAATAATGCTTTTTTTAATATATCTAAATTGCAAGATGGTTCTATACATGGTGTTTTCTTGCACAACAAAATAATTTTTTACTTTATTTTATTTTTTATTGTATAAAGTTATTACCTACTTCTGATATATATTTTTTCTTTTTTATTTTTGTTATTTGCTACGTTTAGTCCAGGAAACATAAATAGCATTGGCTCTTAAGCTTTAGCAATAAATAATTACACTGTTTGATGTGCAGGCCCTTTGCTTCTCTTGGAAAGGGCCGTTACGTAATTTTTTGTTTTTTCAAAATTTACAAACTATAGAAAGCCTTTTTCCGATACTGCTTCTCGTTAGAGGATGCCAGATCGAGATTGATCATTATGCCCTCGATGAAGACCTACAGAAGAAGAAGACAGTAATTTTGGCTCTTTGCAACAGTAGCATTCAAAGTCTCTTTCTGTCACATTACATATGTATATTACCCAGACCACATATATTTACACGTATATATTTCTATGTTGTCAAAGTTTAGAGTACTTTATAGCGTAATTTATGCCATACATTTCTGGGCTGCTGTAACCAGTAGTATATCTACTAATATTTCTGGGCTTCTGAAACCTGTTTGCTCTGGCTGGCCCTAGTATCCTTGCTCAAGATTCCTATCGCACTTCTCGCTAATCTTGTTGGTGCTCCTACATTAGTAGCTATTGGTGTCCCATGCTTGTCTTAGCTGATTTTTCATCTCAAGAAATTGCTTATTGCCATTCTTCTTCCCCGAAAGTTGACCCTATCCCAACACTGTTCTATGCCCAGGCATTATGGACCCTAGTCTCTTTTTTTTTTTTTTTTCCAAAAATAAGACTTCATTAAACTTAAAAAAGTATACAATCAGGACTCCCCCCATAAACAACAGCGTTACAAAGCTAAAACCACCAGTGAGAGAAACGACCAGAAAGGGAAGAATGCGGAAATAAGAAAATCATAGCTAGGAGAAGGGCGAGTGCCCTCCGGACTCAGGTATGAGGTCTCGCACACCCACCCTGAGACCAGCAAGGACCTTCCATTGGATGCAACACAGCAGGAGCCTAAACAAAACACAACACATACAAAACCCAACAAAAGTCGCACCAAACCGCGAGGAAAGACCACAAAGGTTGTCATCATGCAAGAAAAGGAGGTAGCGAACATAAGCCTCTTCATCATTGTCCAGAAAATAATGGACCCTAGCCTCCTCATTCATCTAATCCATGGTTAGGGTCAACTATGTGAGTCATTTTCCTTTAAGATTGTTGGCCTATCACCTTCATCTTTGATTTATCTTGTATTATCTAGGCTGTACCCTAAGTCTGGCTAGCACCTAATGTGTTTATGGTGCTTCATACATGGATTACCTCATGCAAGGCATTTCACTTTCTTTGGTTCAACCATCTTCTTCTCATCTTCTTGGCTACCAGTTGCGTCTACCTTGTTTCAATTTGTTCCCCTCAAATTTAGTTTATTTCATTCTTATAAAACCTTATATCATAATATTTGGCATTGGATTGTCTTCCTACTCCTGTCCGCATGTTGGTATCTAATAGCCCACGCTCTTATTTATTTTTCTCTTCATATAAGGGTTAACTTATGTTGCTGGATAATTATATGGATAAATAGGTATCCCCTTTAATCTTTCACTTATATGCAAATTCTTGGATAAATGACAAGCATTTCATGCAATTAGAAGTTCTTTATAGGCTCATTGCTCTTGGGGTTGTGTTCCATCTCCTTACTTTCGAAAGAATGTGTAGACGAAATTCAATAAATTATTGTCGAAGAGAATATAATATTTTTTCTGTAAATGCTATATTGGTTTTATTTGGATTTCTTTTCCAAACCTGACTGCTCATCTTTTGAAAAAAAAACCTATAATGTTTACATTGGCTTTATTATTCAACAAATCTCTTCACAACAATGTGCTAGCTGATTGCTATTATTTGTAGATGATATATTGAAGAGATATGAAGAAATTATTTGTAACTCACCAATTTTTTAAATCTATATGGATTAGTTGTAAGAAATGTAGTTATAATCAAAGACTTTGAATATCAGCGTCAAAAAACCCTAGCCGTCTCTGGCGATTTGGAGGCGATTTTCTGGCCGCGGTGGTTTGGCTTCATCGTCTTCGCTCTGTTCTTCCAGCTAACCTTTGGTTCTCCTTCGCTTAGTTGGTTTTGAGATAGTTCTTTTCCCTGCTCTTTCGCTTTCGGTGGTTTCTCTGTCCTTTTTCTCGGATTCGCCTTGGCTTTTCTCCTCTGGTGTTTTGTTTTGTTTTAGGGTTTTCGTTGGGTGGGGGGTTGATGACGTCTCCGACGTCGTCTTCCCCGGCGGTCCCTCCGACCTTAGCTGGTAACTCTCGGTCTTTTTTTATTTATTTATTTATTTATTTATTTGGGCATGATGATTCCATCTGTATATGTGTTAACAATCATATGGATTTTTATTTTATTTTATTTTATAGAGACTCGACCTTAGTATAGTCGGATCCTATCCCTAAACGGAATACTATAAATATGACAATATCGTGCATTCTCCTTCTTTGTTATCAAGCCAATTTTCTCTTTAAAGGACTCAATTGATAGTTCTATACAAAATCAAGTTGATCAAAGTGATTCGGAGATCCCTAATAAGCTCTCTTATATATGGATCATAAGCTAGGTACTATTCCAAATATATGTATTGTAACACTTGATGAGGATAATTTTTCATTGGGGTTGTTCTTTGTCCTCTGTCCTCAAATTAGAGCACAAATTTGTAGAAGTTTAGATTATTTGGCTCATCTAATTAGAAATTATCTCTCTCTCAAAGACTTCATGGATATCATAATTTCATCAATGAATAAAAATATCACATTTGAAGATGTTATTCCTATCGACTCTTTTATTTATTTCATTGTACATTTTCAAATTTATGAGTCAAGAGAAAGAATAAACGTCATATTTTACCAAAGCATCAATTAGCATCTTAGTAGTGATTCATCTAAATGAAAATTAATTGTTGTTAATTTAGGCTTTGTTTGGGATGACTTTCTTACTGTTTTATAAAGCTACTTCAAAGTACAAAAATCTCTCGAAAGCAGAGAAAAAATAGTGGTCTAAATTATTCCAAACGATGCCTTAATTTAGTGCTTTGCCATGGTGCTTGTATTTTTTTGTGATATTTTGATTTTTTTTATTATTATTTTTTTTTTATTAGGTACTAAGATAGCCACTTCTTTTTCAAGTGATGTAAATATCATCTTTATTGTTTTAAAAGAAATTTATATGAATTTTTTTAAGGTGAATTTTTTTTCTGCAATGCGAAGTTTCAACTCTAAAATTCTCTCAAATGGAATGATTTCATTCTTCACATGCAAAAATAAATGAAAATTAAATCACAAAACTTCAAAATTATTTTAGAATGAGATTATTTTCAACTGCACAATTGATTAGAAATTTATGATTAGATTTCTTCCATTTAAATTGATCAAATTAATTTAAAACATAAATAACATTTTAAAAATGTGACTTAGGCTTCATTTGGTACAATTCAAAAAAAAATTGTACTAGAAAAATGCTTTAGAAAGCAGTAAGAACGCTATCCCAAATGAAACCTAATTCTTTGTGAATTTTAAGATTCATTTGGGATGTCTTTCTTATATCTTCTTAAAAGCAACATTCTCATATAAAATTAAATTAACCAGAAAGCTATTTAAGAAGCAATAAGAATATCATTCTAAATGAAGCATTAGTTTTTATTCTATCAAATTATTGTGCCACGAGGTACAAGAACTAATAGCAGCCACTCAAGAAAAATGTGGCTGAGGATCCAAAAAATACATAAGATGTTGCAAATTTTTGTCTTCATACGGGGAGTAATGTAGCATCACTGGCTAGCTATTATGGCAATATTTCAAAAACGTCGATATTCTATAACTTCTTGTTTTTAGCATCTTTCTAGAGTTTGCACAAAAAGCATTTTGTAAATGCCTAATAGCAACAAATTTTGAAGAGTTTTTCCATCATATCGTAGTTTTATCAGATGCTCCATAGAACATCATTTGAAAGCGAGTGATCATAACTCATAAGAAAGATATCTCCTTTATGATATTATTGTCAGCCGGATTAGTTTCCTTCATAAGACCAATAACGTCATTAAAACATTCACGGGGAATATTATACTCAGTTTTAATACTTAACATCCTCACTGCAATGGATAATTCTGAATGCGTACTGCAACCTTCCCAAATTGGCTTTTGGGCTGAATGTAATAACTCAAAGAATTTTTGTGTCTCTGCATTTGGTGGCTCTTCCACATTAGACCTTAAATTATGACCTGCTACATCAAAAATAAGGTCTTCATAGGGTCTACTCATTTGATTTTCATGAAATGTTTCATAAGCTGTAGATGAACCAGCATGAGCATCTCTATGTGGCTCGTACTCGCCATGTGATGTCCAAATCCAATAGTTTGGAAGAAATCCCCTACGATATAAATCAAGCTTCACATCATCGGG